TAGCGTAGTTTATACGGATTATTCCCAAAAAAAATATACGTATTTTGGAAATGTTGAGTTGGATTAGTCTAGAATCGATTAATTTTATGGAAGAAAATCTTTCAAACAGCCGTAGTCCGTAAACTTGACACGTGTCGGGTTGTGATTGGAAGGATTCGTAAGAAATCGGATTCCTAAAGAATGGAACGTATCTATATCTTATAGGGGGGGGTCGACTGTATATTATTTAAATAATTTTGTACAGTTTATCATTATTATAAAAAATATTAGTATATAGCCAAAGTGGCCAAACTGTGCTCTTTTAGACCTCAATACAGCTTCTGTACATTTGTACAATCTTTTTATAAACTTGGTACTACATATGATATTTTCATAAGTTTGTTGACTATTATGTCATGTGATATATCATGGATTGTAAGCATAACATAAGTTCAAGATTAAGTTTTAAGTTATCCCTGAAAATTCCTGGGTTACACTTACCCAGGAATTTTCAGGGATAACTTAAAACTATGGTCTATCCTAAATATGTTTGGTACTATCCCTCAGCTGTCCCACTGTGGACTTGGCTGAACCCATGATGGTTAAGACTAAAAGGTCCTCTTAGTACCTACCCACAATGCAGAAAAAGTACAAAAAAATCTACAAGTATAGTCAACAGTAATAAATTGACAATTTTTAAAAAATAAACTTGAAATTATTGTCTAACTAACTAATATTTTATAAAAGATTTGATAATTACTTATAAAATATTATAATTTGCCGAGAAATTGGATGTAAAATTATTTCTATTTGACATGTCCTATTGAAACTAATCAACATAGGAAGGGTGTTGTAATTTGTTTTCAATAAGTATCAATTAAAATATACGTTTTTGTAGTAGGAATCATCATTTTGTATTTGCTACTATTGTGGGGGCCGAGGGGGGGAGAAATAAAAAAAAACTCGACGAACGATAATATGTGATATGTATCGTCATCGTCTCCCTTGCCGTTTGGATTGCCGAGCGGTAACAATCAACGACATATAGAAGCAGAAGAGTCAGAGATAGATGCTTCGTTTACAAACAACACAACCGTTTATTAAACACAAAAGAAGCTTACAAGATTACTGCGATCTTGGAAGTTCTACGTCGGCTGCGGTCGCTGGGTCTTCCTCTCCTGTGGTTCCACGATAGTCCCATTTTGAAGGAGTGTCCCTTGTTCGAGAATGAACAATTCCATCACGTCTCGATGACTCCGGGACGATGCGGTCGACTTCCGTTGATGGAAAGATGTCGATCCGAGGTCGGGAGATGGAGACGAAGATGGGTGCGAGACACACACACAACAACAGATCCGTCACTTGGAACTTTCGGGAGAAGAAGCCGTCGCGTCCTCGAATTTCCGGGGTTTTATCTGTTTTCTCTCAGATTCCCCTTTCCGATTGGTCTCCCGTCGTCACCTGATGACAATTCGAAACCTTTCGGGGGCGCGGGAGAGGTCAAAATCGAAGTTTAATTCGATCTCCAACCGGAAATGGTCGACGGACTTACATTCTTCCATTGTTTTAAAGTTAGCGTCGCGTTTTCATAAAATAAAAATCTATTTCTAACTACTATATTTTTTCTCTTTAAAACAATTATTTTAACGCGAATTTTAGTGAGGGTTCGGACCTGTCCAGAGCCTCACACTATTTCATATAATATTATATCACTGCTATCCAAATAATAATTTTGCAATTATTGCTATCATTCAATTACTAATAATAACTTGATCATTAAAAATCATTTGATCAATTTGAACACTATCTTACAGCAACATTATATCAAATTTTAATTTTAAAAATTAAATAAATTTAATTTAAAATTATTAAAAATTTCTTAATATTTCAGAATATGATACCTGTATTTATTATGCAATTTTTTCTTATTATTTTCATCTTTTATTCCTGAAATACAAAACAAATCTTTTATTAATATGAAATTTGTCAAAACATTATCTAATTAAACTAAAACTAAATATTAACTATTGAGAATAAAAAAAAAATTAAAACATTGTTATTTTGAAACATTACTTTGTATTATAGATTAAAACAAAAGATGATATTAAAATTTAAAAATTAATTAATAGAAAAATAATATATATGCATGCAAAATTTGAACTAATAAATGTTTGTAGGATGTTTGTTCATTTGTTCACTATACATGACTAGGCTGTTTGACCAATTGCTACAAAACTTGGCAGTCATGTTCAAACTTCCAACTAAGATAATGTCATACATCCCACCCCAAAATATCAATTCAATTTCTACATATTGGTTAATTTCTGTCTAAATTTGATTGCTGGTTTTACACATAGCACCATCTATTGGCAAAAAGTGTAACAAAATAATTAACTAAATATAATTCTTACAAAAAAGGATATAATTTAAAAATATATTATATTCACTGAATTACTGCAACAATGATATAGCACGAAATAGACATGCCATTATGCCATTACTGCAACAGGTAGAACATAGCACTTCCCTGTGTGGAGTGTAGTAGTGTTTTCCCCAATACATCATACTTTTCTTGTTAGCAATAGAGTTGTGCAGATTATGCATCTAACTCCATTCAGGAGAAAATTTTTGAATTGAAATAATGTGACTTGCAGTATAAATTGGAAGTTCATATATAGTTAATTTGGTCCTCTTTCTTTTATGATTTTCATGTCTGGTCTCAATTTTCATTTATCCATTCCATTCTCCATTCTCGAGATTATTAAGGAAGGATAGGTATGGACAGACGACAGTGGAAATTTATAGGTCTACAATATTTTCAAATTGCAGCCGAATAAGTACCATTCAGTAACCAAGTAGATAAAACTACAGAACACCTGTAGTCAGTCATAGGTTCAGTAGGGCTAAAAGACTGGCCACATGGAGTTTTCCAGATTTTTTTCATGTTAGTAACATTTAAATTGGGGCCAGCTTTACATAAAAGTCTTCCCAGAATGCATCGTCCTTGGCAGATTGTTCACATGTCACATTGATGTAACCAAATAAACCAAACCAATTTTAATAATTTTTCTATAAATGCAATATTTATGAGGTCATGTTTAACTACCAGGAAACCTGGACATCCTGCTCCTCTCTGATTTCATCTCCCCTTATTAACTCATAAACCCATTGCCCCAAACTTCTTTCACTGATACTGCTTAAGATGTTCTAATATTCAGCCAAATGTACATGCAATGATTTTAAGGCACAAAGTAGAGCTCAAAGCCTTTTTCTGTGATGATGTTTATGTTTCCAATTTATTATCATGATGACTGATTCCGTCAAAACTTCCTGTAGTTGTAGTCTGTGTAATGTAATAATTTTATATGAATACAAAGCATTGTTTACTCTATTTTTAAGTTTAATTTTTAAATTATGAAAAAACTGATAATTCAAAATTTCAGAAATTACTTTTCTTATAGCATATGAATATGAATGTATACATTCTCTGTTGGTTAATCCTGTCTTAGCAATGATTGCAAATATATCTTTATAAATTTCTAACTTATATTTAATTAGTCATGTTGCTTTTTAGTTTTTACTTATCATTTCTTTAAAGCAAAAACAAACAGTTTCTTTAAAATACTTTTGTAATTAGTTACAGACTCAAAAAACAATAAATTCCTTCTTCTTTATTACTAATCAGTTAAATGATTGCTGTATTCAGTACTAAAATTATTTCAATTAATGTGTAACTAAACATTTGTATAAATACTTTGTAAATATTTAACAGAAACATTTATTATAAAAATTAAAACAATTTAAGTTAAAACATAAAAGAATATTGTATTAAGTAAAAAAAAATGTTAAAAATATCTTTACAATATGTATGTGAATGTTTTTCAAAAATTTTTCTTAAATATCATAAATATTAGTAGCAATTTTAACAAGTGTGTATGTTTTAAATCTTAAAATATATTTAAAAAGTTTGCTAAAGTGAAGCCATACATTAGAAAGAATAAATGACAATAGAAGACACATGAAAAAATACTACTATTAAGTGAGAAAATATTTTATTTACATAAACTAAAAATTTATATGATAAATATTAAAAATAAAAATATAATATGAGTATTCAAGAATTAAACAATATATTTTTTTAGCAATAATGTGCAGTTCTATGTCCTTTTTGTGTTTTTAGTAATATTGATACTTCCATTAATTAAAATATACATGATATATCAGTTATCTTAAATTAATTTTCCTCATGAAAAAATAAAATTTTTTACAAAACATTTAATTTCTTTTAACTATCCTACCTTCATTTGACTTTTTTGTTAAGTGTGGATATTTTCGAAACTTAGCATAGTAGAATACTTCAAATTCTTGTAAAATTATTTCCAAGTTGACGTTATCACAAACTTCATATTGATTCAAATTAAATGCTACTTCATCATTTAAATTTTCAGCTGACCTAATATATCTAAATCATCAATTATATTTTTTGAAAATTCAGTTGATGATGATAAACTATATTAAAAATGAAAATCAAAGCCTATTGTATAATACTTTTCTAAATTTTTATAACTTTTATTTATTTTTTGTAAATATAATTAATTTCATAAAATGATCAATCAATTATCAGATTTACTACCTTCATATTTCCTATCTTAAAACTATATATTATCAATATAAATTTATTTATTTATGTATTTAAATTAAAATTCAAAAGCAACTTTTTAATTTTAAAAATATATTTGATTACTAAAAATTTTTTAACAGTAACTAAAAAACCACAGATAAGCATTCAGAATAATTTTAATAATGAAATATAGATAATTTTTGAAAAGTTTATTTATTTATTTTTTAATTAATATTAAAAGACAGCTAACTCAGAACTCAATTCTATCAATAACAAGATGCAATCTTAAAAATTTAGAAACTAGATTGAAAATTGCATTATTATAAGCAATATTTGATGCCATCACAAAAATATGAATTCATAATAGTTTGATACCTCAATTTATTGAATTCTGAGTCAACAGTAAAATAGTTTTAAAGTACAGGTATACCTCGCCTTACGTCAGTAATTGGTTCCAGGAGAGGCAACGTAAGTTGAATTTACTTGTCTCTGAATCTACTTGTCACTAGGCTAAACCATAAATTACCATTCCCGGTTCTGTATTTTATTTATTAATGCATTTTTAGTAATATATGGTTAATAAGGATCTATTTTAAGCTTACAAACAAATAAATTTTAGTTTTTAATATAGTACAGAAAAAAAGTAATCTAAATTTACAAATGAATGTACTGTAAATACAGTATATACTTGTAAATGTATATATTTTAATATGATTTTATGTGATTTAAACATTTTTGTAGTGATATTACGACTTTAATATTTGTGGCAGATAGACGTAAAGTCGAATAAAATGACTTAAACTTGATTTTTATTTTTCCATATACTTTTTTGACAAATGATGTATAATAGGGAACGACATAAGTCTAGATATACCTGTATATTCTAATTAGAGCCAAATGATTGCTGTAATGTATTGGGCTATTTTTCTGCTACTATTAATAATTAAATTGTAAGTAATTTGATATCAGAGGTAGGTGTTAGATGCCATCTCTTATTAAATTTAATAATTATAATAAATTAATATTTATTAAACAATTTAGAATATTCTGGAAGAAAAGAAATCAGCTAGGTGCATGACTCAAACCTGTAACTCCTGCTTACCATGCAGATGCGTTTCCAGTTACGTTACCCAGACACTGAGCAATTCTTTGCTTCCAGACATTTAATTTTCAATATAACCATTTGTATTTAATTAATAACATTGGGTTTTGAGATGTTTATAATGTATATACAATTGAGTCCACATAAGTTGACACCCCAAGGTGAAGTGGAAATGTGTTGAGTTATCCAATATAATGACTAAAACAAAGTTGAAAAGAAAACCACAAAACTACATTTAGGAAAACACAGTAGTACTTTATACAGTACTATAGGCTTACAATACATTGTGTACTCCATTTACAATAATGCTGTAGGTGATAAACTGAAAAATTCACTTAATGTTGTTCTTAACTTTCTTTTCAACAATCATGAACACCTTGAAATCATGATCTTTGCAATTGTCAATTGTTGGCAAGTAATGTCTAAGGATTCTTAATGCCTCTAGCATGTCAGTTTTTGTTGATTTTAGATTGGTTCCTCTAGTATTTCATTCTCTTCACCTCCAGATTTGTTATTCTTGTTCTGAATTTCTGTACAAATATCAACAACATTCACTGAGGAACACACTTCCATGCAATTGTAATTGCAATTTTCCACTGTGCTGTAGTTGGTTTCCTGACAGTTTCTCCACTTTCTACTGCATGAATCATGTCCAAAGTGAGCTTCTTTCAATAATGACATTTGAATAAATGAATAATACCGATCCAGCAATTGCACTACAGCAGTGACATTCAGCAGTAGAGTAAACACATTAATCACTTGTAGTCCTTCAACTTTTCCATGAGCAGGAAAATTGTCTATAATGAATGCAAAATTCCTTTTTTGTTTAACAAATTAGGAGTTGTATTTGTGAAGAACTTCCTCCCAAACTTTGGAATATATTCAACTTTTCAAATCCATCAATTTGCTCCAAGAAGAATTGTAACTTGCAGCTTTGATTTGCTTCTGCCGTGGCAACTCTTGTTTTTAAACATAGCAATTTTCTCTAGAAGCAATTTGTAGAAAAGTCCTGTTTCATCAAGATTGAAAATGTTTTCTGGTTTATACGATTTCTCAATCTCTTGTAAAACTGTCTCTTTTCAAGTACCAACTGAAACAGATTCTTTTTCTCTGCACTGCTTTTTAAAAGTCATGTCATGGCAACCTTTAAATCTCTCTAACCATCCATCACTGACACTAAAGTTAGTTTCTACTCAAAGTACTACAGCAATTTCCATCATTTTTATTTCAGTACTAGCTTACCCGTTGCACATTGCTGCAATCTCAGAAGAAATGAAATTCAAGCAAACTCATTATAATAAAATTCAATTTACATTTTATCATTTTTATTGAAACTTATTATTATTATTATTATTATTTTTATTTTATTTTATTTTTGTGTTGCTTCAATATGATAGACATTATACAATAGAAGAAAGATTGGTTTTTTGAATTCACAGTTTAACACGTGATAATTTTCTTTGAGATATTGTGAAAAAGAAACTTTCTCAACTCCATCACATAACAGTGGAAAGTATTGATAAGTACCACAAAACTATTTTAATGATTAGAATTAAATATTCTGAAATACATGCAGGGTGTGTAAAAATTTAAAAAATTTTAATATATTTTTAGAATGAAAGTAGAATATTTATAAGGTGTGTTATTTATTTATTGTCCAAATATTAAAATAACATCAAAAGACAGTTTGCTATTTGTGGGTGGCAGTGCCATAAACTATACCTGCCTAAGACTGCCATAAAAAGGGAGGCCAAGCTCTTGAAATTGAGAAGGCTCTTTCTGGACAAAAAGATAGTTTCATTCTATCTACCAAAATCTTCATACATATCATTCTTTTCCTCTGATACAAATGACATCAAACTATCAATATATAAAAAATACCAAGAATAACAAAGAAAAATTAAAATGTGTGCAGAGAGGAGCATACAGATAATTCCTATCTAGCATACATTAGGAATGGGTAATAACAAAAGAAGTAGCATTTGAAAGAAACTGTTACAGAAAGATCTTACAAATAGGATGGATGCAGAAAGCCAGAAACCTTATAATAGGATATATGTTACCGCTAAAGCTCGAAATCCGTTAATGTGTACATTATCTAGCTAATCTGCAGATTAACTAGGGTGATCCGTTAAAGCTGCAAAAATTATTCCATTTCTCAAATTACCTAGGTAATCTACAGATTATCTAGGTAATCTGCGAATTACCTACTAGGCACTCGGTAAAGTGAAAATAAGATCTTTGCTGGAACAACAGCAACGTTTCTTTCTGTACACTTAAATTAACATAATGTTATTTATTTAATTTTCAATATCTAAAGAATCAAGTTAATACAATCAANACTACGCCAGAAACCTTCGTGGGAGTGTATTAAACAACTTCCCAAAGTTTCATGGCAATCAGATAAACCTTGTGGTAATGCATGAAGGACATAGAGACAGACATACATTCATTTTTATATATATAGATCAGCCCCAAAACAGGAAGATTCGAGGCACAAATTTGCTTTAGCCAACATACCAAAACATCTTCAACATCTTTGTACAATGACTTTCTCTGACATTTTTGAGACTGCTGCAATAAAGACCCAAGAAAAAGTTTCTTAATTTCCTCTTTTTTCTTCAGGATTTTTGTTTTGCAAATTTGGCTTGTAAAGTTTTATTACATTCAAATTCAGATACAACTTCGTATTTTTCCTTTGGCATAAGCGTTGTTAGGTTTTGGATACTCATTTCTAACAGAAATGTGAAATGCTTGCTGCAAATAACACATGAATGAAAGGTGAGAAAATACAAAATCGGATTCTGCTGTGACCTTAATCTGTGTGGTATGAACTCATTTCTTTCAGGAGGGGAGTCAACTTATCAGACATCTAAACAAGCGTGGGGCAGAAAAGTATGTAGATTTATCCTGTGGTGATGAGTTAAATGGTGTCAAGTAAACCTGAATTTTTTTCTTTTTAACATTAATGTTGGCTGGGACCACAGAAAACTGAAGACTTAACCAATGGTGTCTAATTATACCTGTAATGACTTATGCGCACTCGACTATATTCTAATTCATTAGTAATAACAATTAATTTTATATTAATTTAAATAATTTTGATATTATAAATTACTATTAAATATATATAAATGTAAATTTCTATTTACAGTAGAGCATCGATTATCCGACTCAATTGGGAACTCAGGTTGGTCGGATAACTGAAAAAAATCGGATAACCGAAAAGAAGGAAAAAAATTATTAGTATAGTATATTAGGATATTAGTATATCCCATGTAATTAGTTTATTGGTATATCGCTATTAACCAACTTCGCATTGAATTTTCATCGATGTTTAGCCTAACAAATTTTTTTAAAAATAATAATCGTCGCTATTGTATCATTAAAAATTATTTTATTGTTCACAAAACGAACCACTCATAATTAGAAAATTAAGTCTCGTTTAAACACTGGCCTCCCTTCAATGGTCGAGTCGATGTGGTATTGTAATGCCATATCCCTAGCGGACATTTGAAATTTGCCGACTAGAACGATTGGTTAATCGATGTGACTGTTAATTGAGGGTCGGATAATCGATGCTCTACTGTATTTGTAAACGATAATAAAATCCAAATAATAAATTTAAGAAAAATTATGTAATATAGAAATCAAAATATATTTTATTTAAAACAATGTTGAACAGTTCAGTGTTAGATATTCCTAATGTTTTGATATTAAGATACAGAATGATAATGTTGTGATGAAAATGATTATGAATACTCTTGTATATCAAGTATCAACTTGTCATAACAAATTAACTTATTAATAGTTAATAAGGTTGCTTATAGATTTCTGAATGTTGAAATTAATTTAACAGAAGAAAAAAGCTGACAACCATGGCATTAGTGACATATGCGGGTAGTGAGAAAGTCTGAGTTGAACTACAGAATGCAAAATTAGTGCATGGTGTGTCGGATATAGCACAACTCAAATACCTCAAGGCACTTGAGATCTATCGTGCAATTAAACAGAGTGTCGCTATTAACTTCAAGGAAACGGACACGCTATCCATAGCATGGCATGCCATTTTTGAACTAGATTCCACTGACATAAACTCACATTAACAAAAATTTAAATTATGGAGAATATTTAGTTCATAGTAATTAACATGAAATTAATTGATTATTTATTCGTTTATTATTTAAATAATATACATATTTTGAAATTGTATCCTAAACAATAAATTTTAACGTAATGTATTCGAATCACATAATCAGTTCCAACTTTTAAAAAACATTCTATTTTTGGTTAGCCATTTGTTTGATATCATATATACCTGAGGATGTCTATTTCACATAGATGAAACTGTTCGTAAATTTTTCCTTTTTTCTTGTTGTGTGCTGGTCTTGGTTTTATAGAGTGATATATTTATTCAAACCCAGTTTTTGAGATACATTAATTTAACAATTTATTTTAACATTTCATAATGTTTTATTAATAAAATATGTAAACTTCTATACAATAAATAAAAGAATGTAAGTGTAGTGTCATCATTAATGAATATTTTAAAACAAATAATTTGTAACTAGGAAAAAAATTGATAACTGTAAAGAAACTGAAGATCTTTTGTTCATTTTATAATTTCAGTTTCCAATATCAGTAATCTGATGGATCTTAGAATATATTTATAAAACTGTTTAATATATTTTAGCTATTTAAATGATTATCACATACATAACTGATTCAAAGTTTAATCTGTTATATGTAGGGTGTCCAGAAAGTCTCTATCCATTTTGTTTCTAGTGAATTTCATCCATTTTGAACTTCACTAGAACATTCATTCGAATGAATGTTCTAGTGAAGTTCAAGTCAAGTGTTGGCCTCCATCTAATGTTTGTTTTCTTTGTAAGCATCTTGAATAGCCTGAAGAATGTTGACATTGGAGGAGAATAGCATTTTTTTCACAGAAACCACAATTTCTAACATGCATATCTTGACATGTTACAACAGTTTTTCTAACAATAACTCATAGAAATGGCAATTTTGGTACTGCTGTGCTTCAGCAGAATGGGGCACCTCCTCATTTCGTAACTTGTGTTAAGGACTATATGAATGAAGACTTGAAGGTGAGTCAAAAAGGGATTGCAAAGACTATAGGTAGCAAGATCATCCAATCTGACCCCTTAGATTTCTTGGGATTTATCAAGTTTAAAGTTTATTGTGTAAAAGTTAATGATCTCCAAGATAATAAACATCATATTCAAACAGCAGGTGATGGCATTACAGCATCTATATTGAAAAACATTTTTTGAGCTATAACAGAACATTGGGAACATTCCTTGAAATGCAATATGGTCACATCAAACCTTGTAGATTTATATTGTAAACATTCTTTTCATTCACAAAATATATCTTTGTTTCAACAATTTCACTTTTTTCACCAAAATTCCCTGTATTAAAATATTTAACAGTATTTTTCAAATAATCTGAAAAAATTTGTTATGGTTATATTGTATTCAAAATTAATTTATCAAACTCAGTCAATTACACTTATTTATATTTTAATAACAGGAACATAATAGTAAATAAAAATTATGATGGATTTTATCTCCTAATTCTAAAAATGTTAAAATTTATTATTAAACTATAAAAAATTCATGTTAAAACTATTTAAATAATATTTCAAGTTATTTATGTACATTTTACATTTTAAAAACATTTTTTAAAATTCATTTTATAAGTAAATACATAATTATAATGTACCAACATATAAATAAAAACTTTTAAGTCTATTGTAAATTATAAATTTAAGAAAATATATATATTAAAAATATTACAAATGAGCAATTATTTATTGTGACATTGTCACAATGCCAAGCTGCAATTTTTAATCATATTTTCAACTTATTTAATTTAAAATATATGCTCTCCACCTCAAATTACTAGTGTAGTGTCTTGCCTCTGTACATCGTACTTTTCCATTAGCAATGGAGTCATGCCAGTCATCTATCTAACTCTTTGTAGAGGAAAATTTTTTAATTGAAATAATGCGATTTCTGGTTTGCATTGAAAGTTCATATATAGTTAATTATGACCTCCTGCCCCTAAGCTTTCCATATCTGGTCTTGAATTTCATTTATCTAACACCATTCTCAAGATTAAGAAAAGAAAGACAGATGGATGATAGTAAGTATTTATAGGTCTACAATTTTTTTCAAATTGCAGTCCAATTATGAATATAAATTAATGCTAAATAATTATAATACTTAATAGTTATTATGATAATGCTATTAATCACAGACTAAAATATTATATTTAAACTATATTTAATGTGAAATACAACTAAACATAAATAAAAAACTAATTAATAAATAAAAATTTTCTTACCCTTGCTCATTTAGATAATGATGAATTAAAATGAGTAAATTCCTTCTTCTAGTTTTTTCTTTTTGTTCTTCCTAACAACATAAATATATTTTTCAACTAAAAGACTTTGTCAAAGATTTAACTAAAATTACAAATAGAAGAAGCAAAAAAAAAACTTTTAATTTTTGAATTTTTTTGAATTTAAAATTAATTTTGGATTTTTCAAAATATTTTTAAATTCCTAAAAATAGACAGAATTATTTGAAAGTTCATAAACTTTGAATTTATACAGAATTCTCCAAAAAATGCTTTTATTTAAATAACAAATTTTCAATATTTGCTTATAAATATAATAAACAATATAATTTCATCAGTTAAATTTGTCTTTTAGATTTTTCATAAAAATAAATTACATATACACCAAAGAGCCATTACATTATGACCACCTCCCACCTATAGTAGGAGCTTGCCCGGAGACAAAACAATGGCACTTGTGCAGCTCATACTGCCATATATAAACAGCCAGTGAACTGTGTTTCCAAATGTAGAGTTTTTAGCTGTGTCATGGGAAAAGCAGCACATTTATCAGACTTTGATAAAGGACAAATCGTTATGGCTAGGCACCTGGAAATGTTGATCTCAGAAATGATGCGATTGGTAGGCTGTTCACATGCAGTTGTTGTTAGTACTTTTCAAAAGTGGTGTACAAATGGAGAAACAAGAAGTCGACGGCTAGCTGTATGCCGGCTATGGTGTATTCATTCCAGAGGAGAGTGAAGACTATTACACATTGTTCGCCACGACTGAAAGGCTACAGCAGCCATAACAGTTGTGACCAAGACAACGTGTCTAAGCATACAGTGCAGTGTACCCTTCTGCATATGGGCCTGTGTAGCTGCCAGCCCAGCTGATGCACTAACAGCATGTCATTGACAACAGTGCCTGCAATGAGGAAGCATTGAAATTGGACCTTAGAAGAATGGAAGAAAGTCATCTGGTCCAATGAGTAACGTTTTATGGTTCATCATGTTGACGGTTGAGTGTTGATACGCCGATTTCCAAAGGAGATCATGGCAGCCGGATGCACAGTTGGAGAGATACAAACCAGTGGAAGTAGTATTATGGTGTGGACAATGTTTTCTAGGGACACTAGGACCTGTCATCACATAAAACAATACTTGATGGCTGTGAACTATGTGAACATCATTGCAGGCCAGGTTCACCCCTTCATGGCAACAATGTTCCTGGCAGGGAATGGCCTGCACCATGGATAATGCACCATGTCATAAGGCCCGAATTGTCATGGAGTGGTTGAAGGAAATTTCTAGTGAAGTTCAAGTCATGTGTTGGCCTCCAAATTCACCTGATATAAATCCAATTGAACATTTGTGATTCCACCTGGAAAACCAAATTCATGCTGCCACACAACCACCTCACAATGTTCAAGAACTGGAGGACCAGCTGGTGAGTGCAGGTACCAAATACCTCAGATTATCTACCACACCTTGTTGAGTCAATGCCTTGTCGCATATTGGCGATTTTGCAGGCAAAAGATGGTCCTATGTTGTATTAAACAGGTGGTCATAATGTAATGGCTCTTCGATATATATGAAATTCAAATTTAATTTTTATAGTAAATTAAAGTATAATTTAGTACTATTTATTTTTATTTAATTATTCCTAAATTCTGTTAAGGAATTTGTTTTCTAAAATAAATTAAATTTGTTTTTATCATTAAAAACATAAGGATAGAATAATAAATTGAAGAAAAAGTTTTTTAAAANAGTTAATCTGCAGATTAGCTAGGTAATGTACACATTAACGGATTTCGAGCTTTAGCGGTAACATATATATGAAAAAGAATCTCTTACAAAATTATACAAATAAAACTTCAACAGTTTGGACACATCACAAAAAATGAATGAAAACAGAAAAATTAAGACTCCAGTCTATGGTATTATGGATGGATCCAACAAAAGAGGCAAACCATATAGAGAATGGATTGATGACATGAAGTAGTAGTGTGGATCAAATGTACAGAAATTGAGAAACATGACAATGAATAGAGAGAAATGGAAGGAAATAGTGGAAAAGGCATCAGACACCAACGGGCAATGAGCCCAGGGTTATTGATGATGATGAATTAAGACTTTGTAATCGCTTTATAGATGAATATAATGTGTAATCAAATTTATTAAATTATAATATCTACCATCTCTCGTGCTTTGCTGTTAATAAGCAAAGTGTGGAGTCCAATCTCAGCCATCACTTTTCCTTCTAAAAAAAATTGTAAAAAATATAAACCAACTATTAATATTAAATAATACATTATTAAATATTCTGAAATACATGCAGGGTGTGTAAAAATTTAAAAAATTTTAATATATTTTTAGAATGAAAGTAGAATATTTATAAGGTGTGTTATTTATTTATTGTCCAAATATTAAAATAACATCAAAAGACAGTTTGCTATTTGTGGGTGGCAGTGCCATAAACTATACCTGCCTAAGACTGCCATAAAAAGGGAGGCCAAGCTCTTGAAATTGAGAAGGCTCTTTCTGGACAAAAAGATAGTTTCATTCTATCTACCAAAATCTTCATACATATCATTCTTTTCCTCTGATACAAATGACATCAAACTATCAATATATAAAAAATACCAAGAATAACAAAGAAAAATTAAAATGTGTGCAGAGAGGAGCATACAGATAATTCCTATCTAGCATACATTAGGAATGGGTAATAACAAAAGAAGTAGCATTTGAAAGAAACTGTTACAGAAAGATCTTACAAATAGGATGGATGCAGAAAGCCAGAAACCTTATAATAGGATATATGTTACCGCTAAAGCTCGAAATCCGTTAATGTGTACATTATCTAGCTAATCTGCAGATTAACTAGGGTGATCCGTTAAAGCTGCAAAAATTATTCCATTTCTCAAATTACCTAGGTAATCTACAGATTATCTAGGTAATCTGCGAATTACCTACTAGGCACTCGGTAAAGTGAAAATAAGATCTTTGCTGGAACAACAGCAACGTTTCTTTCTGTACNATTTTCTTACCCTTGCTCATTTAGATAATGATGAATTAAAATGAGTAAATTCCTTCTTCTAGTTTTTTCTTTTTGTTCTTCCTAACAACATAAATATATTTTTCAACTAAAAGACTTTGTCAAAGATTTAACTAAAATTACAAATAGAAGAAGCAAAAAAAAAACTTTTAATTTTTGAATTTTTTTGAATTTAAAATTAATTTTGGATTTTTCAAAATATTTTTAAATTCCTAAAAATAGACAGAATTATTTGAAAGTTCATAAACTTTGAATTTATACAGAATTCTCCAAAAAATGCTTTTATTTAAATAACAAATTTTCAATATTTGCTTATAAATATAATAAACAATATAATTTCATCAGTTAAATTTGTCTTTTAGATTTTTCATAAAAATAAATTACATATACACCAAAGAGCCATTACATTATGACCACCTCCCACCTATAGTAGGAGCTTGCCCGGAGACAAAACAATGGCACTTGTGCAGCTCATACTGCCATATATAAACAGCCAGTGAACTGTGTTTCCAAATGTAGAGTTTTTAGCTGTGTCATGGGAAAAGCAGCACATTTATCAGACTTTGATAAAGGACAAATCGTTATGGCTAGGCACCTGGAAATGTTGATCTCAGAAATGATGCGATTGGTAGGCTGTTCACATGCAGTTGTTGTTAGTACTTTTCAAAAGTGGTGTACAAATGGAGAAACAAGAAGTCGACGGCTAGCTGTATGCCGGCTATGGTGTATTCATTCCAGAGGAGAGTGAAGACTATTACACATTGTTCGCCACGACTGAAAGGCTACAGCAGCCATAACAGTTGTGACCAAGACAACGTGTCTAAGCATACAGTGCAGTGTACCCTTCTGCATATGGGCCTGTGTAGCTGCCAGCCCAGCTGATGCACTAACAGCATGTCATTGACAACAGTGCCTGCAATGAGGAAGCATTGAAATTGGACCTTAGAAGAATGGAAGAAAGTCATCTGGTCCAATGAGTAACGTTTTATGGTTCATCATGTTGACGGTTGAGTGTTGATACGCCGATTTCCAAAGGAGATCATGGCAGCCGGATGCACAGTTGGAGAGATACAAACCAGTGGAAGTAGTATTATGGTGTGGACAATGTTTTCTAGGGACACTAGGACCTGTCATCACATAAAACAATACTTGATGGCTGTGAACTATGTGAACATCATTGCAGGCCAGGTTCACCCCTTCATGGCAACAATGTTCCTGGCAGGGAATGGCCTGCACCATGGATAATGCACCATGTCATAAGGCCCGAATTGTCATGGAGTGGTTGAAGGAAATTTCTAGTGAAGTTCAAGTCATGTGTTGGCCTCCAAATTCACCTGATATAAATCCAATTGAACATTTGTGATTCCACCTGGAAAACCAAATTCATGCTGCCACACAACCACCTCACAATGTTCAAGAACTGGAGGACCAGCTGGTGAGTGCAGGTACCAAATACCTCAGATTATCTACCACACCTTGTTGAGTCAATGCCTTGTCGCATATTGGCGATTTTGCAGGCAAAAGATGGTCCTATGTTGTATTAAACAGGTGGTCATAATGTAATGGCTCTTCGATATATATGAAATTCAAATTTAATTTTTATAGTAAATTAAAGTATAATTTAGTACTATTTATTTTTATTTAATTATTCCTAAATTCTGTTAAGGAATTTGTTTTCTAAAATAAATTAAATTTGTTTTTATCATTAAAAACATAAGGATAGAATAATAAATTGAAGAAAAAGTTTTTTAAAAAAAATTTCTATAATATATTATTTGAAATATTTTATATTTGATTTAAACTTACATAAATGTTGCTATGGTGTACTTTTTCATATTACATTAAAAAAAAAAAAGCAAATAATTAACTGGAACACTAATTCAAATTGTTTTATGTAGAATGGTCACAAAATCTCCATAACTAGTGCCATAACTGTTCATATGCCATGTGCACAATTTCATTTTTGATCCCTTTTGTTGGAAAAATAACAACAAATACAATAGATGGTCAATAATTTTTAATTTCAACAAAAAATGCTAAGGAATTGACTTCCATGGCATCAAAATTTTAAAATAAAAATGTAATTATATTTATTTAATATTTATATTTATTAAATATTTGTTAATGAAAATATAACACTGATAATTTTTTTTAATATCCATTTCAGGCCCCTGTATCCTGTGTTTATGTATCTGCTTAGTTACAGCACTGTCTCCATTTATGCAATTGTATTCCAAGTTTATTTATTTATTATTTTTATTTTATTTTATTTTTGTGTTGCTTCAATATGATAGACATTATACAATAGAAGAAAGATTGGTTTTTTGAATTCACAGTTTAACACGTGATAATTTTCTTTGAGATATTGTGAAAAAGAAACTTTCTCAACTCCATCACATAACAGTGGAAAGTATTGATAAGTACCACAAAACTATTTTAATGATTAGAATTAAATATTCTGAAATACATGCAGGGTGTGTAAAAATTTAAAAAATTTTAATATATTTTTAGAATGAAAGTAGAATATTTATAAGGTGTGTTATTTATTTATTGTCCAAATATTAAAATAACATCAAAAGACAGTTTGCTATTTGTGGGTGGCAGTGCCATAAACTATACCTGCCTAAGACTGCCATAAAAAGGGAGGCCAAGCTCTTGAAATTGAGAAGGCTCTTTCTGGACAAAAAGATAGTTTCATTCTATCTACCAAAATCTTCATACATATCATTCTTTTCCTCTGATACAAATGACATCAAACTATCAATATATAAAAAATACCAAGAATAACAAAGAAAAATTAAAATGTGTGCAGAGAGGAGCATACAGATAATTCCTATCTAGCATACATTAGGAATGGGTAATAACAAAAGAAGTAGCATTTGAAAGAAACTGTTACAGAAAGATCTTACAAATAGGATGGATGCAGAAAGCCAGAAACCTTATAATAGGATATATGTTACCGCTAAAGCTCGAAATCCGTTAATGTGTACATTATCTAGCTAATCTGCAGATTAACTAGGGTGATCCGTTAAAGCTGCAAAAATTATTCCATTTCTCAAATTACCTAGGTAATCTACAGATTATCTAGGTAATCTGCGAATTACCTACTAGGCACTCGGTAAAGTGAAAATAAGATCTTTGCTGGAACAACAGCAACGTTTCTTTCTGTACACTTAAATTAACATAATGTTATTTATTTAATTTTCAATATCTAAAGAATCAAGTTAATACAATCAAACAATCAATAAATTAGTTGATTGAATCAAATCATCAATCAATTAAAAAAACTTTAATACAAAAATCAAATGGTTTAAAATATTATTACAATTAGGGAAATGAATTTGCAAAACATATGATAAAATTGTACTTACTTATTAGTGCAATCTAAAGATTGGTGACACTTTGAATTACGTAGCAATTGGTTTTTGCGACAAGCACGCCTATTTGTGGTACATTTAGATTTGCAGTCACATTTTCTGAAACCCTGCCCAGTACCAAGGGATTGTTTT